GTCTGCCCTGTCACTTTTACATTGATCACACACCTCATCATATTAGGATATATTTTAGAGAGTCTACATTTTGTGTAGTAGGATCGATGAATAATTTTCAATTGTATAAAATTCTAGATTTTAACACAGTTCTCTCAAAAAATGTATATATATATATATATATATATATATATATTAGGGATGTAACGGTATCAGAATTTCACAGTACGGTAATACCTCATTATGAATGTCACGGTACGGTATTTATTGAATCATTTACAGGAAAAAACAAAACTTATGAAAATACTCCAAAAAAGTGCCAAAAGTGTCAATGACATACAAATTAGTCATCTATCTGTAAGCTTTGAAACAGGAACTTCCATTTTAATAACAAAAAAATATTAAACCATGTAAAAAAAAATAAAGTTTCAATTTAGTATTGTTGAAAACTCATCACATTCAACATTTAATCACTCACTCACTTAGATAGAGATGGGTTTAAAGGAAAATTATCATATAAATATAATCTGGTAAAAGCTGGTATCTCTGGGCATTTACAATGTCCCCTGCAACAGAAAAAACCCTCTCATTTGGGACTGAGGTTTCTGGGACAAGAGAGATATGACTTGGCCCAGGTTGACAGCAGTGGGTAACGTTGTGCATTGTCTTTCCCCCACTTGAGAGGACAAACCATGAGTGAGATAGAGATCTCATGTCAGCATCAATCTGAACAGTGTGCTGTGTTTCTGCAGTCCCCATGACTGTTATTACTCGAATTCCCCAACTTGCAGGCACGTGCACACACAGTGCTCAACCTGTGCAGTGCACATGCCCTTTTTAGTCTTGGATAGAAAGTTCCCTTCCAAAATGATCAAAAGGGCCCCCGCGACGCGACACACCCTCCGTCCCCGCTTTACAGTATGCGCGCGACAACACAGCTGATAAGAACTCGCGCGACAACACCGCTATTCAGTACGCGCGCGACAACACAGCTGATAAGAACTCGCGCGACAACACCACTATTCAGTACGCGCGCGGCGACAACACCCGCTTTAGGGTTTTCCAGCTCTTTTTGATCCCCGCTTCAAGCAGCACACTCCATTTCCACATTACTGGATCTGTAGCAACAACAGACCGCAAGGGATTATGGGCAAGCCTGGGCTGATGGGAATTGTAGTTTCCGGTACCTCCCGTTCACTTCATTCGCCTGAGCAAATTTTCTCAGAAGACCTATAGTTTTACAGAGTCATGCGACTACGGTA